ATTCATGAACTCTATCCAGTTTCCTACGGCCCCTGAACTAACCGCTCCGGTTCACCAGCTCTCTGAGTTCCAGATTCTACTCCCTGTGGTTCTCCTCAATAAACCTGTTTAACTGTCCTCTGATTCTCTAAGGGATTTACTGCTTGTGGGTCAGATCACTTAAAAGCATCATGACAAGCTCTGTATACACCCAGCGAGCAAAAAATTGGTTGAAAAGATGCTGAAAAGACAACAGGATTTACATCCAAACTAGTCTACATTTGGTTGAAAAGTGAAAGGTGAAAAGCCCTAACTTTGATAAAATTACCTTTACATTAGATTAGACATATTTATTCAGATTTAAAACTCAACTCAACTCAAACTGGATGAGATATATGCAAAGTTATATATTTTGCAGTTAAATATTAATATGATAAACACAAAGTTTTATATTGATATATTACAATATTATGTTTTACAAATATTATACATTTATATAGTATATTATTATTAATATTATTATTTTTAAGGATTGCTCTTTTATAATGACTATTATGATCTATAGAGGGAAATTTGTTGTAATGTGATTTACCAAAGAGAGTGAAGTTAAAGTTTTAAATAAATTTTATGTAAATTTGTATTCATTTTTTGTTATTGTGAAGACTTTTTAGTGAAATCATAGTGAATGAGTATTTTATGTTCTGTCTAACTACAGGCTTTTTGTCCTTATATATCTAATCTTCTTCCAAAACTCTTTTTCAAACTATGTTTTTCTATCACTATCTATGCATATGTGAACAATTGTTCTTTAATCAGTTAATGTGTCACGTATATATTGTCTATGGTGTCAAGTGCTTGGGTCAGGTCTTGTAACTTGAAAAAGTGTTATATAAGTACAGGCTACTTGCCAAGTTTGTTTTTCATAGATTTTAACCATTGTGTGGAAGCCAGCGTGTACAAGATTAGGGCCTATGTACGCAGGATTTATAAATGAGAACCCAGACCTGTTAAATATGCAATAC